TTCTGTGTTTTTAAATTTTAACAAAAACTTTAGCTCAGATGCAATTTCTTATGCTTATTAGTTAAAAGATTGTGTGTTTGTTAGAACTGCAGTTAAAGGTCACCATAAGGGCTGAGAGCCAACTCATGCATTGCGCATCTGCATGTCCGCTAATGTAGAGTGATGTAATTTTCATCATCTTCCCAGGTCTGCACGAACTCTGTGCGGACGTCCACATGGAGGCCAAAGGGGGCGTCTGTGTGGATGGTCCACACAGCAAAAGCTCCAACTGCACATGTACCACAGTGCTTCCAAATCGTTGGAGTAGAAGATGGAAGATAAAAGGCAGGCCATCAATCAGAAGTATGAATAGGAGCGTGTGCACACCTCTCATTCAGATCTATGTATTCATAAGGGTATGCACAAAGCATGAATTCCCCTTAAGGAGGTCTGCTGATCTCTGGACATGTCATTAGCAAAGAGAAAAAAAAACAAACAAACACGGAAAAGCACCTACATGAAATCCCCCAGCCGCAGTCATACAAGTACATAAACATACATACTTATACAGTAAATAGTTGTGCAAAGTCAGAGAAATGCGTTTGTTCATTTATACAAATACATTTTCCCAATGGTATTTAGAGGCTTTTTGGACACAGTCTGTCAAATAAAAGCGTACTCCACTATTTCCTTGCATTCTCCCTGCTCTGAACATCCATTGGTACATTGTTTGATTGCACAGCTGACCTCTGACCCACAGCTGCCACCAACTCCACACAGTACACTCCACACGTTATATAAACTCACCAGCCACTTTATTAGGTACACCTGCACAACTGTTACAATTGTTTCTAATATTCTGACCTTCTCATGTATGTACCTGGGGAGGACAAAAATACAGAAACACCTCTAAATATAATGTAGTCGAGTACAACACCACCTTTAACTATGACCTCAATAATAAACATAACTAAATGTATACATTTATGACAATTTCACTAAAAACTGAAACATTTTGAGCTTCATAAATACAGATGTTAAGGCAATTCATTGAATTACATACAACTGTACAGGTGTACCTAATAAAGTAGCCAGTGAGTGAATAAGAGAATGCATATAGGCCAATAAACTGCTATGTAGCATGTGTACCATCTCCCACACACAGTTTTTCTAATACAGTAAATGTGGAAATCCTCCTCCAGTGTCACCAGTATGATCTGTGGATTTATAACACCAGTGAGAATTCTAGTGAAACTGGTCCAGAGTTTCCTAGGAGTTACAGTCATGTGTCAGCGTGCAGATAGATGGCATCCAGCCTCCAGCCCAAATGAAGGCAGAGCAACTTCTGCATACTGAGAGAAACATTTGTGCAACATTTCGACCAAAATAGTCCTGGTCTCCACCGCAAAGTGGGAGAGCTGCCTTCATTTAGGCCATTGGGTTTGGCAATTACACACACACATACGCTGCATTTCACCACTGTAATATGGAAGCCAAAGACATGAAATAAGCCTATTCTGTAAGTAGACTGTGACAAAGGAAACATTGTGGGGACAAAAACGACTACAAGTTCAAATGGAGCAAAGCCCAAAACCAAGCTGTCCAAGTCCAAACCAACCTTCAGATGTATATATCCTGTTCAAATGATCATAGCACTGTTCTGATTAAGCAGCAGGTATCAATTCAATCCAACCCAGTAACACCTAAAAACTTTTTATTAATTACTTTGACCTATTTTTAAACAGTTTTCGGGAAAAAGATGACAGACAAATATACACAATAACTTCAAACTAGCATAAGGTACAAATAAATCTAAACATTACTAACATATCACTGATAGGTGGTAATGCAAATCTATATCTCATTCCTGCAGCAGTTAATTGTCACTGTGTATGCGGAGTATGTATTTAAGTTGTAATAACCTTCTTGTACTTTGTGTTACTCCTTTTGAAAACGTATCTTCCAAAAGTCTCTTTAAAGATGAGTGCAATTCTTACCTGGTGGGATGTGCTCAAATACAGCTGTTGATCAGCTCTCCGAGTAAACCTTCTCCTTCCACCATCAGAAGCGCTCAAGTCCAAAAAATGTGGCTCTCCGTCCGTCTGGGAAACTACAGACAGATTAAGGTTTTTACTGAAAGGGAAACCCCTTCAAACAGGTCCTACAGCAGCCTGAATCGGACCGCTCACTGTTTATCTATGCTGATTCTTCCAAGCGTCAATTTCTGTGTCACCCTTTTCAATGCTCGATGACCTTCCCTGAACAATGCTACACCAAAGTCATTGTTAGAGTCTCAAAAAGTCGATTTAGGGAAACACGCAAAAAGAATATAATGCAGCCTCTAGCGATTCGTAGACCTGTCAGTACACACGAGGTCCAAACTTATCATGCAGAAATAAATGTTGGAAATCGGTGGCACACGCTCCTCGTTGCGTATCGCTGTGCCCTCAGCAACAGGTGTCAGTAATATGGGGAGATTCCTTTAGGACCATCAAAAGTTTCCAAACGCTTCCCAACTAATTACACACGTAGGGAAAAGCGGGAGGAGGGTGGAGGGAGGGAGAGAGAGTGTGCTCTCCGTGGGCAGAGAGAGAAAGAGAACAGAGTGAGGCAAAAGAGCCAGAAGTTTCTTCTGTCTGTGCTGTCTCTGATGTGGAGGCTGTCCACCGGTGGGGAGTTACACAGAAAAGGGTGACTTTGACATGACAAGAGATAAACTGAGGGGCTGAAACGCTGTCAGGAACGGGATTTGAAATAACGCCCCCATTCGGGGACCAGAAGTCCCTGAAAGTCGAAAAGAATTTATCTTTGAGTCTGGCAAAAAAACACGAAAGCAAAGAGCAACTAGAAAGTTGCATTTTCTGAAGAAAATGCGTATGGATGCTGAGTGCTGAAAAATCACCCTGAAAAAGCTGAACATTTTGACACCTGAATGCTTTTGCTAGCTGAAAGAATGCTGAAGTTGGAATTTCCCCATTTATTTGAATGGGGCAAGTTTTCAAAATAAAGCTAAATGTTTTAAAAGTATGAAGTTTAGAAAACTTCTGAAGAGAAGCATGAATGTCCTTGAAGAGTTGAACATTTTGATAGCTGAAAGAGTTGAAAGTATGCTGAAGTAGAATTTCCCCATTCATTTGAATTGTGCAAGATTTTCAAAATAAAGCTAAATGTTTTAAAAGTATGAAGTTTAGAAAAATTCTGAAAAAAGCCATGAATGTCCTTAAGGAGCGGAACATTTTGATAGCTGAAATTATGCTGTAGTAGAATTTTCCTATTCATTTGAATGGGACAAGATTTTCAATGTAAAGCTAAATATTTCAAAAGTATGATGTTTAGAAAATGTCTGAAGAGATGCCTGAATGCCCTTGAAGAGCTGAACATTTTGATAGCTGAAATTATGCTGAAATAAAATTTTCCCATTCATTTGAATGGGGCAAGATTTTCAAAATAAAGCTAAATATTTCAAAAGTATGGTTAGAAAACTTCTGAAGAGAAGCATGAATGTCCTTGAAGAGCTGAACAGCTTGATACCTGAAATAGCTGAAATTATGCTGAAGTAGAATTTTACCATTCATTTGAATGGGGCAAGATTTTCAAAATAAAGCTAAATATTTCAAAAGTATGAAGTTTAGAAAACTTCTGAAGAGAAGCGTGAATGCCCTTGAAGAGCTGAACATTTTGATAGCTGAACTTATGCTGAAGTAAAATTTTCCCATTCATTCACAT